GTGTATATATTCAATATCAATATATGTTGAATATTACCTTGTGACTGATATCAAATTCAACTGTACATTGCAGTGACTGCGTTTTTTTTCTAAGAAATGCATCATGACTTCATCAATACAACGAAAACATGTTTAAATGATAACATATGCTTTCTGTGTCCATTTCTCTGAATAAACATACATATATACTAAGGAATATATAAAAATAGTTAAGTATATTCAATGTACAAAATATATAATTTATAGCTTATACACAAAAGAGTAATCAAACACTGTTAACTGTTATACATATATACTGCATTTATATATATGCATACAGATGCACACATTTAAGTTCATTGAAATATATAAAAAGTAAAATAAGGCATAACCAAAATTCAATTAGAAGTGTATATTCCTATATAGTTTTTTATGCACATGCAGTATATATGTATAATAATTAACAGTGTTAGTTCACTTTTTTGTGTATAAGCTATTAATTATTTATTTTGTACATTGGATACACTTAACTATTGTTATATATTCCTTTGTATGTATATACATATGTATGTATGTATATACATATGTTTATTCAGAGAAATCGACACAGAAACCGGCACATGTTTTCATTTTATGCACACATACATATATATGTATGTAAATGTGTATGAACACATATGTATATATATATATATATATATAGAGATATATATATAATATATATATATATATATATATATATATGTGTGTGTGTTATTAAAATGCGTCAAGGTCGCACTTGTGCAAAATTTTGACTGGTTGGAACCAGCCGTCTTTTTCCAAAGTTGAGTTAATGTGTTTTATTACCATACACAGTATTCAATTAAATCAAAAAGAATTTAATAATCTAAATACCAAAGCAATAAATATCATTTATAAATTAGCTTGAAGTGAGGTTATGCAATTCTCAGATAGACGCTCAAGGAACGTACTTTAATTGCGTAAAAAACCCAATAAGTCGTTGATAAAATAGTCAATTGCCTTAAAAGTCAGTAATAATAGAATAGTTACTTACATGTAATTCACACTAATACCACAAAATTTTTTTTTTATATATTTATTATTATTATAAAACACCACCTAAAACACCACTTAAAACACATCCAACCTCGCTAAATGTCAAAAGAGGAATAAGATCAACGAACGTCAGTTCACAAGCTCCTTTTGCACTTTTATTCCGGCGGCATGTGCTGAGAACGCTGAGCTATTGCTTTCATACCGGGTACCTTGAATAGAAAAATTTCCCATTATTGGGTATCAAATTGGTGCAAAAAAAAATATGCATTTACTTTTAAGGCACTTAACATTCGATCTGCAGCTCTCTTAAGAGGGCTTATGTGCTCTCCGTTGTAGAGCTCAATAACTTTAAGTTCACCCACAACGCCTATAATCATATATTGCGCCTCCTTGTGGTTATCACACTCCAGCCGTTTAAACGTAGGTTCAGGAATATTATTTGCAAAACAATAGGCCATTAAATCAGTGAACACATTTTCATTACTCATCGTTTGCAAATGTTTTTATTAAAAACTATTGTCTTTGAAATTGGAACACACGCTTTGCTGTGAATGTTACAAACAGCTGTTTCGCAGAGAGAAAAATTTATGGATGTAATCGACATTTCTTATGAGTGGAGAATCAGAGAGACAATTTTCGATTTTGCTTTCGTTTTATAATACGTTGGTGTTGGAAAGGAACAGGTAGAATATGAACCGAAGTATGTCTATGTATGTTCGTTTCAAATATGTATATGTGAATATATTTCAATGTTTAATACAGTAGACTCTCGATATCGCGAAATATATAATCTCAAGGCGTTTCGTAATTTTCAACACGTTTTATATGAAAGAATATTTTTGGTACATTTATTATTTACAAATATTTGGTCTTTCGTTATTTGGTGGGTCCCGCATATTCGGCATTCATTAAAACAGGGGTCTTATATATTTACATATTACGAAAAATTCTGCATTGCTTATTTAATTCTTCAGATTATTGTACAAAAGAGTGTGTATTATATTAGGGTTATTCAGTACCATATAAAGAATACACATATTTACTTTGCTCAACAATTTGTTATGAAACGATTTAGTTATTTAGTTATCGGGAATCAATTTTACAGCCCTATAAACTTTATTTAACAGCTAACAGTACATCGCATAAATATATAGAATTATTGTCACAAGTTCACGAAGACCGATTGAGCGAGGCTTATGACTTTCGTTCTCACATAATATTGAATTGATTAAAGTTTGCAATCTCAAGAATTAATTATAGCAGCAGTAATACATGTTCGTTAATGCTGTAACTCGGTAAAGTCATAAAATCTTATGAATGGAGGTATTCGGATGCAATTCGATAACTCATTAACTCAGTATTCAGTAAAGTGCAACGCCTAAAGGCCCATTTTCAATTGTTTCTCGGTACAGTTGTAAAATTGAACTTGTTTGTTATGTTTTTCATAAAGGCAAGAAAATGTCAAGCGAAATCAAACAAATAAAATTATAACTTAACTGAAGCTGGCTCTTTTAATTAATTTTTATTTCAATTAATTAATTTTTATTTTAATTTTTTATATATCATCTGATAATAATGCTGATGCATCCATTCTTTGATAACTCGGTAATGTAATTTCACAAAAACAAATACACATAAGACTTCATCACTCTAGCGCGTTACTATGTTAACGAACATAACCGGGGATAAAATATAAGAACTACATTTGAAATTACACATTTATCTAAGCTAGTACGAGTATATTTTTATATACATGTGTTTATTGTCTCTTCTCTTACCATGAGGCTAACAATAAGTTCTAAAATCTTATCACTAATCACATATTATTACAATTTTTTTTAACTAAACTGTACTTATTTTTATTTTATATATATATATATATATATATACATATAAAATTATATATTATATATTACAAAATATATATAAATAAATATATAATAAATAAATATATATAAGTAAACCTTATAATGCAGGCCTCACTTAAATCAATGGGTTAAATTTCTTTGAAATGAATGTTAGGTGGTTCATTTACCAGATCCTTAAGAAAAGAGTGGGGCTTTTACTTGTACCTATTGAATTTTAATTAATGGCTTGAAAATCAGTTCTTTTTAAACGAGAAGTAATGGATAGATTACGAGATTCGTAGCTAAGGGATTGACATGTTCTGTCAGCATTTTATTGTATTTTTTTTCTTATGTTGTCAAATACAGCTTTACCTTAGGAAATTTCACTCCGAATATACCATGGTGCACCAGTGATTTTTTTCAATATTTTTGACTGAGCTTTTTGGATAATTTCAATATTTGAAGCACTAGCATTATCAAATAGCTGTATACCATAAGTCCATATTGGTTTTTTGATCCTGTTATACAAAAATTCTTTATAATCTAGGCAAAGGGAGGATCTGTTATTAATGAAGCAGTGCAACTTAGAGACTTGGAGTTTCATTTGTAGTTTTATAGGTTTGGTTTCAATATGCTTGCGCCAAGTTAGTCGCCTGTCTAGATGAAAACCAAAATGCGTTATATTATCTGCTTGTGGTATGGGAATATTATTTAGTAAAATTGTTGGAGATGTACTCCGATTTAAAGTCAACATGTCGTGTGTGCATTTTAGTTCATTCACTTTAATTCGCCACTTTAACAACCATTTCTCCACCCGAAATAAGTGAGATTGAAGTTGGTTTGAAGCTAGCACAGTGTTTTTGTTTGGACATAAAATTGCCGTATCAAAATTGCCGTAACACCAGCTTCTATTGGGAAATTATTATTAATAATTATTAATATTTATTAATTTTAAAGCTTCTGTTATGCAGATAGGATTCTAAAACTGAGTGAACATTTGAAGGTAATGAACAGCGTATCTTATATGGAAGCCCATTATGCCATACTTTGTCTAATTGTTGTTGTTGAATGGTTTCAGCTTGAAAAGCAGTGCTCTTCCAAAGAATATAGAAGGACATGGCAGTATATTTATTAGCCTGTATGAATTGGCAAGCGTGGCATCTTTGCGTGATTTATGAATCATAATAATCATGGATGTATTCTACTCTGTTGGGTAAAAACGAAATTTAATAATGGCAATGAAAAGTCTTGTGATAAAAGGGGGTTGTGTCAATGCATGATAAGCGAGTTTAACAAAGTCTCAAACAAATCTTTAACAATCGAAAGCACACTTTATTCAGTTTTACTCGAAACGAAATCGGAAACGTTCCTTCTCACAAAAATTAAAAAACATAATTCCTGAAATTGAATTTTAAACTGCAATTTTAATGAATTTCCAATGCCTATTTGCACCGCCAGACTAGTATATTTATATATATTATATATTATATATATTTATATATATTTATATATATTTATATTATATATATTTATATATATTTGTTCGTTACTTAATTACTCGAAAACTAAAACAGCGATTTTTTTAAGACTTTGGTAGACTATTACTAAACGGCAAAGAAAAATAATAGATTAAATATGATCCCGACAGATCGTACACAGATGTCAGTATTGTAGCCAAAAATAAAAATATTTTTTTTTAATACTAACATATGTGTATGTATAAAGATAAAGATTTCTATATAAATATTAGTCTGCTTCCCTATCAAAAAACTGATTAAAGAACACATCTTAACAAGAAGTTAAAATAAATTTTTAATAATACTTCAAGACTTGGAGATAATAACCTTCCATCACTTATCCCTCACTTCACTTCACTTCTCAATTAAAGTGAGAGTGTGAAAATTAAAATAAAGATATCAGAAAAAGAAAAATATGAAAATTTGCATATAGTTTAGTCCAATGAGAAGCCAATCATTTTATTATTCCAAACATGGAAATATCTTCTAAGGGCCTTTCATTTAACTAGATAGAATTCATTACCTAGATGCCGTTGTTTTAGAATAACAAAACCCAGACTGTGTTTACATTTATATAAAGCTAAAATACAATATACTCTGGATCTTCTTTAGACACTGTATATCTTGGTCTGTAATGATAAAATGAAACTAGACTGTAGGTCAAAATCAAACAAATAGATGAAGAAAGAAAGAGAAACAATGCAAGGGCTTTCTATAATCAAATAAATTTTATTGATAGCAAATATGAACGAAGTCCTTTTGCCTGCAAGGATACGAATAGGGTAGTACGCACTGAAACAAACCAAGCCATAGAGAAATGGAAGGAGCGTTTCACCGACTCATTTAACTTCAACAGCGTAAATGAAGCGATATCTGCAACAAGTGCAATACGTGAAAAATTCGGTGAAAAGGTTAAAGTGAAGAAAAGCGGCAGGCAAGAACAATATTACAGCTGAGCTATATAAATACGGAGGTGATCAGGTAGAAATCGAAATGCACTCCTTGATATGTAGAATATGGCACAGCGAACAAATGCCAGAAGCATGGAAAAGCAGTTTAATCTTCCCAGTCTATAAGAAAGGCATCAAATTTGAATGTGTCAACTACAGACCAATCTCGCTGCACGAAAATTTTCTCGTATATTCTGAAAGATAAGCTTCATTTGTGATACTATAGGTAAGTATCAATGCGGTTTTAGACATGGTAGGTCAACAATTGATCAAATATTTGTGCTACGTCAATCGATCGAAAAGTATTATGAGCATAATATTACGCTACACGCACTCTTTGTAGATTTAAGGCAGGCCTTCGATAGCCTTGAAAGATCAGAAATCATAAACGCTCTGGCGTGGAAGAGCGCCCCACAAAAACTTACTCGATTGGTCGCAATGATCCTTGCGAACTTATCAGGCAAGCTTATTATCAATGGACAGCTCTCAGAGTCGTTTTCAATAAGCTCCGGAGTTAAGCAGGGTGACAACCTTTCGGCATTCTTATTTATATTAACATTACACTACATCATTCACTCCCTTGAAAATCTCGGCAATATTATAACAAAGCCGTACCAGATCAGTGCGTTTGCAGATGATATATCATTGCAAAGAGCGAAAGAGAGCTATCAAATGTATTCAAAAACCTAGACGAAAACACTAAAAAATTATTCTTAGAATAAATGAAATTAAAACCAAACACCCCAAGCTAGTAAGAAGGAGCGAGAGTACGGGTATGCAACGCATATCAATTGGTGAATACAATTTTGAGGTTGTTAGCAGCTTTACCTACCTCGGTGCGCTGGTTAGCAACAATAATAATTGCAGAATCGCAATAAGAAATAAAATACAAGTAGCAAATAAATGTTTTTACAAATATTTAGACTTAATGAAATCAAGACTACTATCCAAGGAAAGTAAGCTATGAATGTACAAGACAATAATAAGACCGGTAGCTGCATATAGCTCAGAAACATGGACAATGACGAAGGCGGACGAAAAAGCTTTAAACATTTTTGAAAGAAAAATAGTTCGCCAAATCTATGAGCCAATCCAAATTGATGCAGAACCTTTGCAAAGACGAACAAATAATGAGATTGAAGAACTGCTTAGAAACGAAAATATAGTGAGATACATTAAGTCGCAAAGGTTACAATGGGCTGCATGTAATAAGAATGGGGCCGTAGAGAAAGCCGAACAGCATATTCACGCAAAACCGATGACAACCAGACACAGAGATAGGCCAAAAACAAGATGGGATAAGGACGTGTATGGTGATGCAAGAACGATTGGAGTACTGAACTGGAAGAGAGTAGCTGATACTAATATCTGCTACTAATATACAAACATTAAAATAAACTTTTTGCACTTTTTAACTATTCTCTTAATTACATATTATAATTATTTATCTATTGCGTAGACATTAAAGTATGTCTACTGCATGTTATTTATTTTATAATCCAAAGTATCGGACTATAACTTTTTTTAGGAAACATGAAAATACATGATAAGAAAAAATGTGTTTCAATGAAATATATATATGAAAATTTTTTTTATACGGGAGAATCGGATATTTATGTGATATTAATTATTATATTATTATTTTTTACTCAAATTTGAACTAGCGACGCGCGCTGTTTAAGAACGATATCGGCAAAACAGAAAGGAAGAGAAACGTCTTTTCAGGTAAAAAAAGATGGAAGCAAAAGAGGCGTGAGTACGAAGACCTTGAGAAGCTTGGCGACAGGAATATGACTCGAAAATTCTACCAAAAATAAAAAGCCTGACAATTGGTTGAAAGCCCGGAGTTAATTCCTGCCAAAATGAAAATGGTAATCTGGTGATAAGTGTTGAAAGCATGCTTAATATTTGGAGGGATCACTTCTCAAACCTACTAAAAAGCGATAGTAGTAATGTGATTGAAAGCGAAGATGATTCCAAATTTGCAATCATTGACAATGAAATAATCATCCCGCCTCCCGATCATAATGAAGTTAAAACATCCTATAATGCGGCTTGAAAACAACAAAGCTGCAGGCACCGATGGTTTACCGGCTAAGCTGTTTAAAGCTGGTGGCAAACAGCTATTAAAATGCATGATACAATTTATTCGCAATATATGGTCAGATGAATGCATGCCCAGCGATTGGAATTTAAGTGTTCTTTGTACAATCCACAAAAAAGGCGATCCTGCAAACTACGCCAACTATAGCGAGATCAGTCTTATGAATGTTGCATATAAGGTTCTGTAAAACGTAATGTATGAAAGATTGCAACCAATCGTCAACCAACTGATGAGACCTTATCACTGTGGCTTCAGACCTCGCAAATCCTTCATAAATCAGATATTTACAGTAGGTCAAATTCTGAAGAAGACCCAAGAAAAAGAAATCGTTTTTGACACTACGACTAGAAGCACTCTTTATGTCGCTGTCTGAATTTGGTATCCCAGCAAAACTTATACGGTTATGTGAAATGACTTTAAGTAACACCAACAGCTCCGTTAGAATCGAGCTCTTTGCTACCAGACGAGGATTCAGACAGGGTGACTTCTTTAATTGTTGTGGGACTTCTTTAACCTAATATTGGAAACGATAATTCGAGCAGCAGATTTAAATAGAATCTCCTGAGCGTCTTGGGACCCACGTCACTGTTGACAATTATAAGGTCGATGTTGTGAAAAACTCTATTTACATAGGAACCAGGTTAAACACCAAAAATGATATCAGCCTAGAGATTCAACAAAGATTCACTCTAGCCAACAGGTGTTACTTCGGACTAAGTAGGCAATTGAGAAATAAAGCCCTCTGTCGACAAACAAAAATCACGCTTCACAAATCTCTTATCATGCATGTCCTGCTTTATGGTGTAGAAGCTTGGACAATTACCAACAGCGATGAGAAAGCGTTAGGAGCATTCGAGAGAAAATTCTTCGAAAGATCCTTACCCATTGGTCCCTTACCCATTGGCGACAAGTATCGAATTAGATGGAACGATGAGCTGTATGAGCTCATGTCATACCGCAGAGCATTGACATAGTTAAGCGCATAAAAATTTAGCGACTTCGCTGGCTTGGTCATGTTGTGGGAATGGAAGAAAGTACTACGGCTAAAAAGGTTTGATTCAGTACCCGCAGGTGCAAAGCGTGGTAAAGGACAGGTTATCAGGTGACAAACAATATGGAGACGCTCGGTACTAATAACTGCAACAGCAAACAATCACACATATTTTAATTTTTATCTAGATATTAATAAAACTTATAAAATTGTATGTATTTTTTGAATATGTCACCCTTTCTAGTATGTGCTCTTCAACTTTGGAGAATTGATTCGATTACGATAGATCAATATTATTGAGGTTTGAAGAAACACCTTCGAAATCGATCGGCATTGATTTCATTGCTTGATTTGATTAGACAGTGGCGTCTTCATTGGAATTTACTATAATGTTCACTTTGAACTTGAAGTAATGTACAAGTATAAATATGTTTACTTAAGTGACAAAATTCAATTCTTGAAATAATTACAAACACTTGAATATTTAGTATTCCCGCTGAATCGATTCTTTCTTCATTTTTTGTGAGTAGCAGTGAAATGTTTACAAAATACAAATATAACACAGACAACGCTGGATAGGTTGTTTTTGTGGGAATTGTGTGTATAATAATTCATTATGACAAATTTTGTTTATTTTCGATATTAATAACTGAAAATGATAGAATGATAGATATAAATAAATAATCAAATCAAGAGAACAGAATTGAAAAGAACACACGTCCAATTCAATCTTTAAAAATCTGCTAAATTGCAGCAAAATTTTATCGGAACTGCAATTAACGTTAGATCAGATACACTCTCATTGGTTCAGCGCTCCAACAGACAATACTTGTACGTCCAAAGCTACGTAGTCCATATTTTTGTAAATGTAAGCTTTTTCACAGATTTCTGAATCAAAATTAAAATTAAAATGGAATGAATTCTGCAAATATCAAAAACTTTGTATTTGTAAAATATGTAGAAGAAATTAACTTAGTTTGAATTATTTTTTATTATCAAAAAAACAATTAGTGTTTTCTGAGAGAAGATTATGGAATATTCTGCCTTAGGCAAAGAGTGTATTCATACAGACATCTTAAATGATACAGACACCAATGAGAACCATTTATACTTTTTACAAATATGTACACATTTATTTTCATATGGATATGTAAATTGTTTAAACTAAACTGCTGCTAAGTATTATTATTATTATTTGAATTTACATCTCAGCGTGTGTTATTGCTGGGATTCACATAATTCCGGATGACAGCATCAAGGAAATTATGCTCTGTTGAAGTGTAGTCCATGTTCTACATCTATTAAATTGTGTTGCTCCTTCTAAAGAATGTTGATCGTTTCCCTCACTATTGCACATGTATGCAACAAGGCGTATTTCTGCATAGTATTTATTAGAAGTTTAGAGAGTTCAAGTATGTCCATAGAGTGTGTGAGGGTTTTGGGTACTAGAACAGTGACTGATAGTATTATTGGTACAACAACCACTCGCTGAAGTCTCCAAATTTCTTTGATTTCCCTAGCCAGTGGTATGTAGTTGCTCATATTTTCTGCATACTTCTCCTCAATGTTGCCATTATGCGGAATAGCAACATCAATCAGGTACGCTGAATCATTCCTTCTATCAGTCCTTCTACCAGTAGGATATCAGGCTTATTATGTGTTATTAGTCGATCTGTGTAAACTTGTCGATCCCAGTACATACAAAAATTGGTGTTTTCTAGCACCGCAGTGGGTTTATATTGGTAAATTGGACAAGTTATAGAGATCAATCCATGCTTGAATGCAAGATTTTGGTAGATTACCTTACATACTGCATTGTGCCTGTTTAGATATTCCCTTGGTGCCATTACAGAGCAGCTGGAGATAATGTGATCCAATGTTTCTGAGACTGAACCACATTTCCGACACAAGTCATCCTCAACTCGTTCTTTAAGAATATGATTGCGATAATTACGAGTAGAAACCACGCCATCCTGTATCGCGCACACAAAACCTTCAGTTTTTTTGCTGGTCAGGCACCACCAAATCTAAAGGACAGAATACTCTGTTCTTAGTTTAGTGCCATACAAAACCAAAGAGGACTCAGCGAGTCTCCTTGAAAAATACCTCTTCTGATTTGTATGACGTCTGATAACTTAACGCCATCAGCCGTAGGTACCCATAATATGGTACTGCACCCTTTCATTATTACCGTCAAAAGTTTGATTAACTCAGGATCTATGCGGTATAGGCGTAAGACATTGATCAGCCAAGAATGTGGGACACTATCGAATACCTTAGCATAATCAATAAAGCAACTAAATAGGTTTCTTTTTGCTTTTACTACCTGTCCTACTGCTATCGTATCGATTATCAGTTGTTCTTTGCATCCCTTTGAACCACTTCGACAGCCTTTTTGTTCTTCGGTCAATATATCATTAACATCTAAGTGCGCATATATGCTTTTGCTAATCACCGACGTAATGAATTTATAAAGCGTCGGCAAGCAAGTGAGAGTCCTTGTTTCCGCTGGACAGTCAACTCTCCGGCCTTTTTATTAGATTTGTTATAAGCCTTGCAAGTTAGTTATGGACACATCGAAACTGTTTGTACCAGAAATTCTGCACTTTATCCAAGCCTGGCGCTTTCCAATTACTGGATCTTACAATGGTTTCCCGTACTTCGTTCTCAGTTACTTCCATAAGTCGCATTGTGGCAATACTGGCATAACGATTATGTTCGGAATCTATCCACTCTGCATGCAGAACATGGACTTTAGATGATTCCCACAGCGCACTCCAATAGTTCTTTGCTTCTGTAACTGAGAAAGATGCATGTTGTCTAGTGTTGTCAGTTGAACCAAGTGTAGAGAAGAATTGACGTTGATTTTTTATATACATAGAGTTCTGAACACGTCTGGCATGTGCCTCTCCATATCTCTGTAAGCGATTACAAACAACAGAGAGTTTTTGCTTTAAAATATCCATAAACTCTACGACTGGTGTGTCTCTATGAATAGAAAACTGCCTGTATATTTTTACTGCATATTTCTTTAGTCTACTATTTGATCGACTTACATTATATCCACCATCCGCCATCCATGGCGGAATACCTTTTTGTCCCGCATCAATAGCAGACGGCAATAGCAGAGGATCTTTTGACCATGTAACCTTATTGCTGTTACTGCACCACAATACACAAGAGATTGTAAGTGTAGAAGTGTAGTATCAGGATTTAGTCGAGATAAGATTTCGCTATTTATCTGGGATAGAATGATTTGCGTTGCATTGGTTGTATGGAGCCTAGGAGTTTTAGGCCAATGCAATGGATCATTTTCAAAGTATTTCAAGTATGCTGTCTGAGACTCGTCTCGGATATTACTCGAGATATTAGCTGGGCGATGAAGTAATGTGATATGGCGAGTATGGTATTGAATGTTCACAGGACTAGAGCGGCGTATAGGCACTGAATTCGTACTATCAACCACTGACTCTTCGTTACGAGCTGTTCGGGTAACTTTGAATCGAATGCGATCCCTGGTAGAAGCTGGAATCTTCTTGCTTCGCACAATGAAACGGTATTGATCTGAGACTCTCTGAACAGTTACATGCGAATATTGGGGGAAACGTTCAACAAATTTTTGATGTAGCATGAGACGGTATGATGTTAAGTCCGTCAAAGTAATTTCATAGTAAGCACGGATAATGAAGGTATTCATTTCATCTGTCCATTTCATCCGCTGCTAGGACTGTCAATCAAACAATCAAACAGATTTAATGAGAAAAAAGGACTGTCATTTGCGTTTTGCTAAAAAAGTTTCATATGCAATTTTTAACCATTTTCTCAATGCATTTAAGATTGCAATCTGGTGTAGCAGAGTTCTTTTATTAAAGGTAATGAGGTTTGTTATTGAAAATGCATAGATTAAAAAATTTTCAATAAATATGAAAAAATATGTTGCCACAATCGATGTCAAGTCCACATAAATCTAAATTGTTTATATTTGATATTTTAACGACAATGTTAATTAAGATTAAGACAATCCTTTTCTTTTGACAATTCTCACTGGCAACAGCTTACGGCAGTTTCTATACTTTCTACAAAGCAGTTTTTATTTTGCACTCAAAAGACTCAAACTTAAAGTTCTTATGTCTGCCGTTTGACATAAGCTTCTTTCCTCTTTCAAACGGTTGCTTCTTTCATAAAAGCTTCTACAATTTTTTGTAAAATATAGGTTTAAGTACTGTGTAAACTTTTGCCCACCTTTAAGATGATTTCAGTGTGTTAGAAACTCACATCAGTGGCGGAGCTAGACCAACTGTGGACGTCGGCGACATCGGAGGGGCGAGACCCCTTTCAATACCGAGTTATAAAAGTAAATAAGTTCACTAATATAAAGAAGCATATATGAGAGTATGTATTGCTAATCAAATTTAAATCGATTTTAACTTTGAGAAGCTTCCTTCAGCAGAAGCTGGCTGACTGGAACTATGAGCATGGTTCTGGTTACTATTCTTTACTATTATTTAATATACCGAATGAGTTGTTTGATATCGTTGTGTAAGTCGAATGCGCGATCTTAAAAGCTGAAGTTTTTAATACAGTTCAAAAGGATGAATGCTGGCGTTTTCACCTTCCGTAAGTATTATACCTAAAGCACTATAATGCTATAATCCAAATTGTTTAAAATATCCATTGTGTTTTGAATCGACAGTCAGTATCAATTACGATAGTATCTATCATTGTAGTAAAAATGTTTACTTTATACTACATTTCAACAAATTGTATGGGTTCATCAATATATTCATATTTTCTTTAAATTCAGATGCAATTTCATAACAACTTTTTTCTACAAACAATTGAGACAATTGTTCAACTGTTATGCAAATCTAGTATTACGATAGTATTTTATCCAAATACGAAATGAGCGTAGACTATCAATAGCGATCTTAAAGTTTACTTAAGTCGATTGCCATACTTTATTTATATTGCTCACGCATAGTAAAAGTTTATACCACAATCCTATTGCAACAATAAATTCGAAAGTCAGCATTTCATTAAGAACTGATTCACAATCAGTCTGAGTTTTAGAATCATCAGTTTTATTTCTCTGGTCATTCATGCATTCAACAACATTACCAAATTGCAAGGCCTCTTTTTGCGGGGCTCCTGTGCGAGGTCGTCTGTGGACGCCAACCACCAGCACTGACTTACATGATAGCTTTCGATGCTATCTCAATAGAGAAAAATTAGAAGACAATTAAATCCAAATAACTATACCTAGGGTATTATGAAATCAAACGCACGCCTGCGAGCATATTATTTTCAAAGCTTAAGCATAGAAGAAAATTTAACAGTGATTCTAATTACAGAATACACCACTGCACCATCATGATGACACTATATGGAACTAAGGAAATATAACTAAGTTCTCTATAGAACTTTGATTTTAAAAATCAAATTTAGAAAATATATTTACTCGACTAGGAGCACTTGCTAAAACATTTCACATATGTTATATGTTCTTATTAAAGCATCATTAAAAAATAATAGGGAAAGATAATATTTATATATATTAAAACATAATATGTATTAAAATGAGTAACAGGCAAACCAAAGAATGTTGGAGGTCTGTAGCTGAAAAGTTTATGAAGAAAATAAGAACACAAAGGAAAAAATAATACCACTCTTTGTTATAATAGAATTTGTAAAGAAAATGTTTACTTTTATATAATTTTGAAGCCAATAGCTATTGTATGTCTTTGCTTGTTTTTTAATTGTTTTCTATTTTTTTGAACTATTCATACGAACAGGTGTTACCTTGTTGATCCGAACCAATTTAGATATGAGACTTTTGCAGAGTCGACCAAACTTGATTTACGTGGTCCAAATTAATAGTGCCGACATTTATATATTGCACTCTATAGTAGAGATTTCAGTGCATGCGATTTATCAATTAAAATCAATAGTGTGAATCTAAAAGTATTATTTCAAATAAAGACGCTAACACCATTTTGATCGTTTTGTACTTTTGATCCATAGGTATACAAAACTCACATAATGGTTTCCACATAATGGGATTCCCCGCATTGAAGTTGTAGAAACAACAGTTGTTCTCAGGTAGGATATCTAAGTGGTGACAGATAAAGCTTTGCCTCGTGACTTTTTATTATATATGCATACTGTATAATTACTTTGTGTTTTATATCATTAAGCGATCTGTTTTATAATATATTACTAAATAGATATGATCAAGTTCAACAAATTATCGAAATTCATTCTGATTAACATGATTTATAACAAATAAGAAAGTTTATAATCTAACTGAGAAACACTTTTATAAAATTAAATAAGTTCTTAAAAATCATTATTTTTTACTGATTATCCGATCTTTAAGCTACACTGCTATAAATATATTTACAAATTTAATATACTATTAAGGTATAATGTGATAAACACATTTATAATTATTTTGAAGTCAATATTTTTTATTTTCAATAAGTGTTTTCTTGAAAAACCCTAAATAAACCAATGGTACTTTGATCACTGTCCATCACTGATATATCTCTTTATTAAGAAATACAAAGTTATAAAACACATTGAGCTTATTTTTATCATCCATTATAAGTATTAAAGAATCACTTCTATTAATTTAATAGAACTGGCCCCATTTATAACCTCTATCTCTATCTCTGCCATAATCTTAAGAAATCATTTTTTTCATAGCAAATATTTCCAGCATTTGTTATTTTAATATTTAATCGCAATCGGATGATACTAACATCTGATTAAATTTAAATATTCATTGTTCATACTATAATAACACTTGGTCATTCTAGTAACATGCATATAATAAAAAATATATACATTTTCACACTATAATCATAATGAGAGTTTACAAGTACTCGGCGCCTGAGAAAAATTGTCTTCATTCCAGTAGGATGTTTCTCTAAGCAATTTTTCATTATTTGTACTTCCTTATTATCAGCATTATGAACAATTTTTAAATGTAATTATAATTTGCAATCTTGCTCTACAATAAATTATATTGATTAGTCCAGTTAAACAACAGATGCCAGAATAATAATTATCGTCTAGAAAGCATAACATGGGTCCATCACATTTAGGACCACCTTTGGGAAGAGGTGAATACTTGAATTATTCAAGTATTACCGTCTGTGTATTCGTTTAGTAGAATACTAGGAATACTGTCTTGTGACACTACACCTACATCCAATTCAGTCTTTCTTATTAATAGAATTGAACTGTGTTATCACAGTCTATTAAATATTTAAGTTTAAGATTTGAACGATTTTGTACTCATCCTTCTTATCTCTTATAGAACAAAGGATAATTTTCCATAGGATTTTTCTAGTCTCATGATTATGCTGTACTGTAGTGTGTTCAATATTTTTTAAATATTTTTATATTATAATCATAATGCTTGATGTATCGCTCTTCTTCTTTATTGATTAATATATCCTATTAATGATGATGCAAAATCTGTGCATTTTCTTTGACATATTTCATTCCTTAATACTCGTAGTTAATTTGAAGAGTTGCATATGAGGTATATGAGGTATTGCCAAACAGTAAACAGTTTGGGTATGAAAATTTATAATCTTTTAAATTAACTAATATATCAATATATCTATATATAATAAGATATAATAATTATTTAAATCCTTACAAATTTTACTGCTTAAGTAAAAAAAAATTAAAGCAGATTAAAATTAGTAGGAGCTAATTATGATAAGTAATGATCGCTTGACAGACTTACTTGTTTTTTTATACAGTAAGTTCATAATATCCCTTTTTCAAATAGAAAAATATAAATATAATTAATATTTTTTATTTTGTTTTCATTTATAATTTTTCAAAGCATTATTTGACATCTTATAAGTTAATTGAGTCATAGTTACTAGTCTTCTCTAAACTCTATGTGTTCCACAATAAAAGTAACATTCATAACAAATTATGTTAGCGTTATGCATTTCATTTACAAATGTTGTTCATTTTTTTTAATAATTTACATTTTCTTGCTTAAAGAAGAAAAGAAGAATTATTGTTGACGTCATTGCCGCACATCCGTTTTTATTTTTCCGAAGTTGCACCTGGAGCACTCTAAAATACATAACATTTCACATACACAATAAAAAGATTCGTTCAATAATTGCAAAGAATCAAATACCTCCTTTAATTTTTTTAGAACAAATGCAGCTGCCTTACGAACCACTCGCGTCTTGCCGTTATAATAGTAAACAGGACTACTAACCTCACCTACACAACATTTCACGTAGTACCTGACTGGAGACTTACGTATATCTGCACTTATGTGGTAAAACGGCACCGCCAAACTATGATTGGTGCAATAATCCAGTAGATCAGATATTCCATTTTTAGCATCATTCAACGAACCGTCCGAACTCATCCTTCAAGTTGTATTTATAAGAAATCTTACAAAACTGCAACTTTTTACCATCCAATTGGACCGTACCGCACTGAACGACGAAAATTCTGAAGTGACAACCTAAGATACTTCCTGGTTGATGTTGAAGTGAAAAGCTACTCAGCAATATCGTTTGTCACTTTAAAGCAAATCGCTTTAATGCAAGAAGCTTATAGTAGTCTTCGAAATACAAATGAGAACGATTGTATAAAGTTCTTCTCTTGACTTTATCGTTGTCAAATTTTTTTTTTATTTTTAATGTTTCATGTCAAGAATACGAGGGTAAGTTAATAAGTTTTTAAAAATACTTCAGATGGCGCTCACAGTGTTATTTTTCAGTGCTGTAGGTCGTTATAATTCCATATTATTTTTTGAATGAAACTAATACAAGGGTTTTAATTCAATTTTGCTTATAAGCACAACTCATTTCAATTACACTAAAGAATAAATTATTCCTCGTTCTTTTCAAGCTCTGTTTAATATACTTCAGTTTATCTTAGCCAAAAAGTTTAAGTATTTACTCTTTAGCTGTAAAACTTAGCGAACACGGAACTAAAATAAATTTTCAGTGTTCGCTATGTTTAGAGTTAAATTTCTTCGTGTAAATATTAAAAAAAATTGTCAAATTTTCGTCCATATTTTAATATTTATATTGAATTAATTATTAAAGCGATTATAATTTCCATATTGAAATTTTTGATTTAGTATTTACTGAATAAATAGACTTCAACAAATAGTGCGTCCTTATCTTGCACATCTGCATTAATTTTGAGCGGATCTTGCATGGCAATTGCAACTAAAATAGTCCCGAAAATAAGCTATGCTATGTTTAGACTATTGTACTAAACTCGACAAATTAGCAGTCGAGTTAGACTATTTGCAATTTTTGGTACAAAATCCATGTAAGCATATTTAGCATATGCGGTTAGATAACTGTAAGTGTAAATAAAGTATTAAGTACGATAGTGTAAACACACCATTATTTTTTTTGGATTGATAAATCCGTGATAAACTTTTCAATCGAAATTTCACCTTTAAAGAATATTTGCATGTTCGATTCATACATCTCAAGCAAAATGTATTTTTGTTATTGTTATTGTTATTGAGTGAAAGTATAAGATTTTTATATAACACTTAGATATTTTGCCAGAGTAAGAAAAGAGTAAGAGTTGATTGATACTTCTTTTTCGCTGTTATTTAAAATGCCACAAGTAAAGTTACTATCACCGTATACTTTTAATATATAACATACATTTAAAATGTGAAATTATCATTTGCATTCAAAATCAATGTTTATTTTAAAATATCTTGATATATTAATGTAGTTGTCAGATAGTAAGATAACCCTAAAAATATTCGATTGGGTCCAAAATTAGAGCAAATATGACGCAGAAAGATCAAATCTAAACCTAACAATCGAAAACGTCATTAGTCAAATCTTCGGAGAACTCAGTAGAAGATTACTTTCTAATTCGTTTAAAATAATATTTGTTTTTTAAATCAAATACAAAATATATAAAAATATATAATAAATATTATAAAATTATTTTAAAACAGTAATTTAATAAATAATTATTTAAAATAATTATTCGATTGCGAATGGAACATTCAAAACATTTTCATGAGAAGCTCTTTACTGGCAATCAGCTATCTAACTGACAATCTTGTAATACTCCACCAATAAGAGTTGTAATTATATATATACTATATATACTATGTATAGTATATAGAGTAAATCGAGTTGTTAAGTATTACAACTCTCACATATACTATGCTTTTGATTCTATTTCAAATAATATCAAATAATAAAATCTATATATATAAAAATGAATGTGAGTCTGTCTGTACTCGATGGATTCAAAAACCATACAACATCCAATCACCAGGAAAATTTAGGAAATTATTAGGTATATTCCCGGGAAAGTTTTTATATTTAAAATATTGGAAAAATCCACTAATTTTAACATAAATAATAATTTTATAAATTTCTGTTTCAAACTATTGAGAATCTGACAGTTTGATTGATACTGATTCTCTTTTTGTATTGTTGTGTATCATCAATATATCAAATATTTCAAATTTCAAATATAATAAATAAATAATTTATTCAAATTTTTTATTATTGTAAATGAATAAATTAATTTTGTGATACCAAACTATTGAGAATTTGACAGTTTGAGTGATACTGATTCTCTTTTTGTATTGTTGTGTATCATCAATATTTCAAATATTTCAAATTTCAAATATAATAAGTAAATACTTTCTTCAAATTTATACCCGGGAAGGTTTTTATATTTAAAATATTGGAAAAATCCACTAATTTTAACATAAACAATAATTTTATAAATTTCTGTTTCAAACTGTTGACAATCTGACAGTTTGAGTGATACTGATTCTCTTTTTGTATTGTTGTGTGTCATCAATATTTCAAATATTTCAAATTTCAAATATAATAAATAAATAATTTATTCAAATTTTTTATTATTGTAAATGAATAAATTAATTTTGTGATACCAAACTATTGAGAATTTGACAGTTTGAGTGATACTGATTCTCTTTTTGTATTGTTGTGTATCATCAATATTTCAAATATTTCAAATTTCAAATATAATAAGTAAATACTTTCTTCAAATTTATACCCGGGAAGGTTTTTATATTTAAAATATTGGAAAAATCCACTAATTTTAACATAAACAATAATTTTATAAATTTCTGTTTCAAACTGTTGACAATCTGACAGTTTGAGTGATACTGATTCTCTTTTTGTATTGTTGTGTGTCATCAATATTTCAAATATTTCAAATTTCAAATATAATAAATAAATATTATTCAAATTTTTATTATTGTAACTGAATAAATAATTTTGTGATACCCACTATTGAGAATTTGACAGTTTGAGTGATACTGATTCTCTTTTTGTATTGTTGTGTATCATCAATATTTCAAATATTTCAAATTTCAAATATAAGAAGTAAATACTTTCTTCAAATTTATACCCGGGAAGGTTTTTATATTTAAAATATTGGAAAAATCCACTAATTTTAACATAAACAATAATTTTATAAATTTCTGTTTCAAACTGTTGACAATCTGACAGTTTGAGTGATACTGATTCTCTTTTTGTATTGTTGTGTGTCATCAATATTTCAAATATTTCAAATTTCAAATATAATAAATAAATAATTTCTTTAAATTTTTTGTTTTTGTAAATGAATATAATAATTTTGTGATACCGTGATTGCAAAATAAAAGGAAGATTATTAAAATTAAGGAAGATATTTTAAATTATTAATTTTAAATTAGTATATTAATTATGCCACCAAAGCGAAGTGCCATTGGTCGAACTACAAATCAAGTAAAAAGGAAAAGGAAAAGGAAAAGGAAAAGAGAAGAACGATCATTAGAAACGAGTGAACAGAGACAACCAAGGCAGCAAAGGAATCGAATTCGCAGTACACAGACAAGACGAACGATCCCCTTTACAATTACAGTCTTTATTCGAGTGTAACTTTTAGAAAAATGGATAAAAAGTGTACGTATTGTGGTGAAACACCAAATATGTGCTTTGCAGGTTCACCACCTGAACCATTATTAACTTTAGCATCAGGTGAAAGAAGTCAATAAAAAAATTTTTTGAAAAACACACGCAAATACAATTCATGCTTCCAAACGACAGTTATATGACAACATTTGAAGTACAAGGGGAAATTTATCACCATGCTGGATCCCTAAAAACCGTCATTTAACAGGCGGTCTAAGCAAAATACAGTTTACTAAAAATAGAAGTCAATCTATGGCAGGACAACGTCTGCCCGGGGTTACTAGTAATAAATATTTTATCTACCAGCCTATTAAAAATAGTTACTATAAAATCGAACTTTTGATATTTATATATTGATATATTAAAATCTGCAATTTATTAAAAAAAATTTTTATCCGAGCTGAAAGTGTTAACATACTAACAGCTAATATTCGTTTTCTTATTTTAGTTATAAAATTTTACATCTTGTAATTATAATTAAAATAAATTGCAATAAAATAAACAGCTCCATTTTTAACATATATATTAATTAAATTATAAAAAATTTCATAAATTATACCAACTCCTATTACCTTCAAAGATTCTATATAGGTATGGATTTGATGGTATATGACTTAAAAAAATAAAACAAATTTCACAGCCTAAGTAGTAGCCGACATGAACGGTTAAGAACTACAATTCCTTTCTTAATTCTTTCTTAAAAGTATGCACTAATTTATTATATTATTGTGTGAACCAGGGCTTATATTCCATGAAAACAATCTTTTAAAAGCTGAACATCTTTATATACATATACTTAACGCCTTGATATCAATTATAAAAACTCACTTTTCGTCCGTTGAATTCTAAGTCTTTACAGTTTCACATCAAGAAAGGAAAAACTTGTTTATTGTTGTATTGACTTTATGTCAAAATAACTTTGATGAGGTAATTGATTAATATATAATGTACATATAGTCCACTTACAAAATACTTATATCGAAACAAACAAAACCAATGATATATAGGCAATAAACTAAACTAAACAATTTTTTTCACCTTCAAACATTTTTTTTATTTTCCGTTATTATATTGCTTACGTGGAGTTTACTCTTTATTTACTGTGCTTAGAACCATTAGATATTTGAGAATTGTTAAAGTTATCCTGTAACGCATAAAATTTCAAATAAATTATAGAAATATAATTATTCTAAAGTCCACCTCTTTCAGTGTCCGCAAAACATAAATAGCTGATTTTCGAACTGCCATATCCTGATCATGATAATAGTAAATTGGGCTGGAAATTGTGCCTACCATGCACTTCACAAAGTACTTGAAAGGCACCTTGATTGGATCGGTGTGTATATAGAAGAAAGGGTACGGAAGCATTAATTGTCTGCAATAGTCCTGGAGTTCTCTAACTGCAGGTTCCTTGGAGTCAAACAATGGATAAACATGCATTCGTCTTCCCTATAAAAATTTGAATAAATAAATAAATAAATTTTGAATTCTTTCTTACGAACACTCACGAGAAACATTGAAAAAGCATTAAAATCCATATTGAGCTCAAACGTATACGATCGTCGCAAACTTCTAACGAACTGATCTTCAGTTTCACTTGGAACAAAAATATTATTTTTTATTTTCTTTCAAACATTATTTATCGTTAGTTGCTTCTTTCTCACATACTTTCAGTGTTGTGTTTTACTAGAATTCATGAGGTTGACAAAATATTTTCTTCAGTTTTCTGCTTTAAATAGTAAGTTTTTATATATTCTATTTTATGTAAAATGATATAATAGTTTTCTTCAATTCATGGAATCGTCAAATTAAAATTAAATATTAGTTATTAAATAAAGTTATTAAGCATATAAAACAGCTGATAAAAATTCTAATAATTCGATTTGCTAAGATTGGCGTATAAATTTACCATGTCCTTCTAAATAATACCTCGATACCTAGTGCTTCATAGCTTGCTCAATAGTTCAATAGTTTTATATATTAAATAGATATTTTTCACCTTATTCTTTTGCTAAGTAACCTTGTTTAAACTTGATTAAAGAGTGTCATACTGTGTGCTACTCCCTTATCATATCCGAGCAGTTCTTTAAGAAATAATTGTCGCTAGGCACTAGTACACGATGTAGTCCAAAGGAAGTAATGAAATGAGTGGTCCGTAGGGATGAGTTCAATCGCCACTTAGAATATATAAATTTCTAAATACTTCTTTGTACAAAATTTAATAGGGCATTCTATTATTTCTGAACAGGAAAAAACCTAAACAAATGAGAAGCAAAGAAATTCAATTACATATTAGAATTATTTATTTTGGAACTAGTGCATATTCTGATCCCTGGTAATGCAACGATTCACCAGTTGAAACAAAAATCCGCTGCTTATGCTCGTTGTATATAAACAAATTCAGAGCAATATGCTTCGTTAGCTTTTTTTTTAAATATATATATAGTGGACTGTGAACCTATGAATGAAGAAGTCTATTAATGTTACCAGATATCAATTTTAAATATGTTGGTCTTACTTTCGATAAACATCGCTTTTACTGCCACTTTTTTGCAAATAATTTTAAAAATGCAATACAAAAATATGTAAAATTATATGTAATAATATCTGGAATTAATATAATTAATAACAGAACGGTATACATAAGTCACTAAAACACCCTACAATGACAATGAATGAATGTGACCAAACTCCATGTAAGTACCAAGTTCAGTTAAAATAATAGCGTATAAATAAATTATTTTTTTCGTTATAGACAATGTTGCAACATCATCTATAGATCATTAGTTAAATCCCTCTACGATCGAATATAACCAAAGCACAATCAACTAGAAAGTAATTTATTAATACAAAAATATTTAATATGTATATGGACATATATTACAATAAATATATACATATATAATAATATAAAAAAGGCATGTTTGATTTATTTTCCAAATGAAAAATTATTAAAAATACTAGTGCCGCGGTGTATAGCGCGGATACAATTGACAACATTCTACCCATTATGAACTAGTGAAAAGACTAGTGCCGCAGTGTATGATACTGGGACAATTGACACCATTCTACTCCTTATGAACTAGTAAAAAGACTAGTTCCGAGGTGTGTCGTACGGGGACAATTGACACCGGCAATGACAACTCAATGTAAAATTCACCAGTTGAGCCCACGTAAAGTGGATTATGAAACGACTAGCGCTAAAACACACCTGGGGACTAGTGAATTCACTAGTTCAGAACTAGTCATAGGCGCTGCTGGGATATTCTTAACATAGCTACAAACAAAATCATAATCTAATCTTATAAAATTTCAATCCAAACTATTTTTTATTAATGTTAAAGATACGGGGTAGGAGCAGATGCTACGTTTTATTGTGTCCTTTAGTACTAAACACATTAAAGCTGCTTGATTTATTAATTAATTCATTAATGTTAGTATACTTAAGTACTTTTTTATTTATTAATTATTATTCCTAACTCCCAGTGGAGCATACTGTTTCAATACCCTTTCGAAAGCAAGTACTGTTGCGAGTTTCAGAGTATACTTCTCTAAAATAAGTGTAACAGAAACTCCGAAATCTATAATGATTCGAACAAAACTTTAAGTAATCAGCAGGAATATTCTACGTGTTCATGGAAACTCATACCCTCTAAAGTATGTAGTCGTTGAGATATGATAGTTAACCTATCTTTAACATTTTCAACTTTCTTCAATGCTGTTATAATCGGACATCCTGAGAACTCGTTCAACTGATCCCGAGGAAATACTTGATATTATCATGAGATAATAGTACAGTTACACTGAACTGTGACCAGTGGTACATTATGTACATAAACCATACTGAACATTAATTATTTTTGGTAAGTAATTCTAAATATGTATTTATTAACAAGACATTTAAGCATATTGAGAAAAGGTCTGCATATTAATATTAACAAATACTTTTAAATTATTGAATCTAGCGAAAATAAATTGTACTATTTTAATAGACGATAAGGCTACTGATTTTTTAAACAATTCCTTATAAGTCTGAGAAAGTCTGAGAAAGTCTTTTCAACTGATAATTTATTTATCAGTACATCACTCCCAGACTTTCCATTTCTTCATGTTGGGTTTAACTATATATCTGAAGCTTATCTAATGTAATTAGATTTTTTTACTGTTTATTTTTTTTATATATTATTAACTTTGTGACATGATCGTCTCTTGAACAAACCTTACCTTTATTTAAATTTTTAAATTATACTATCTATTTTATAGTAATATTAGATAATATTAGATTTCTAGATTTCTTCCATTATTATTATTATTTATACATAAGTAATTATTTACCGAAGTCATCTCATGTCATAAAAGAAATGGTAACACCCATTGATGCATTAAGCATAATAGTGTCAAAAAAAATTTATTAGTTTTAAAATTATTACTTAAATATATATAAACAAATAAATATATAGTTGAATAAATCAATATTAAATAAATATTAATAAATATTAAAATTTTGATATATTAAAAATGTCTTTAGAAAGACCGAAAAGAGCTTTCAGTTTGTCAAAAGAGTGCTACCAGAACACAAATAATCTCTCAAATGATCGTTTACAAGATTTTTCAGTGTGGCGAGCTGATAAAGATATTTTTTTAAAAGTTGGACCAACTTAGACCACTAAATATTCTAAATTTGAAAATAAAATAAGTACGTCTTCTATTTCTATATGTTATTATACAAGAAATGTGCTTTTTTTATTGTTTATATTGACATTTATTTGCGAAACAAATCTGAGTTCGATTTATTTGTATTTTAAGTCGGACAGGCAGTTAAGACAGACAGATAAACATTCGTCATGAATATGATTATGTGGCTCATACGATATCCGATGTAAGTTCATCATCAAGTTTAGTCACATGCACTGGTTGATAGCAAAAACAAAGTATAAACAATATACAATTCACTGCATAAACAATAGCACCAATATTACAGAGAAAACGACACATACTTACGTACATATACATACATACGTACATACGTACATACGTATTTGTATTTAAGTATAAAACGTATCTCATACAATAAATAAACAATTCATTCTATATAAAAAAGTAGTTGTTCGTAATAGTTTTTTTGAATGATCTTAAAAAACGTCATAACAACCACCCATAAGAGATCATCTAAAGTGCTGATATTGTATAAAGAATTAGGCCTTTTGTTTTAAATGTGGCACAGTGGAGGCTCAAATATTAGAATTAGTTATCTCCTGTGTATTCTGATAATAGGATTTGCCGGGAAATCACCATACTGACTATATTTTGTTCTGCCATTGTAGGAAAACATTAAGAGGTATTCAGACTTGCTCGATAAATTTGTTGTGCAGTAAAGTATTAAAATTTTAGTTTAAGTTTTAAATTAATTTTAAATTGATTTTAACGAATCAAATCAAAAACACTTCTTTTCTAATTTTTAATTGTCCACTGTTGTATTATTAAGTAGATTTTTCCTTTGAGATATTAAAATTTACAGTCTTGTAAATTTTGCTGTTGAAATGTACCCAAACAAAAATCTTTGTCCAATCATATCTACTTTATTTTCACGATCTTTCATCTTAATAAAAATGATAAACTGATACCTTATAAGCTGCGAAATTCTTAGCAAGCAATTTGTAGAAATTGAACTAGAACTATGTAACAGTGACTGTTCCTTTTCGAGGCATCTCTTCAATAACATTAAAGACTTCTTTAACGTATTACAACCTAAGTCAGTGATCAGATGTTATTACTGAGCAGTAATTACCGACCAAAAGCAAGCTTTGTTACTCGGGTAACAGAGTATTACCCGGGTTATGTTCAAAGGCTGAATACAAACTGAAAGCGAGGTATATAAAAAAGTCAGCGAGGAACGATTAGAGTAAATTTTTCAACGAACTTGCAAAACACGCCGAAGAATAGCTGCTTCTTCTAGGCTAAGACACACCAAGAAGTTGTACGAAATTACCAAACAGCTAACTGGTAAAAATAACTTTCGAAATAAACCTATAAAAGAGAAACTAAGAAATTTACTGACAAATAAAGAACAAGTAAACAGATGGGCCCATTCTTCGAAAGTATTTCAAAGAACCTAGAAACCAACAAATCAGCGAAAATAGCTCAAGCCGAAGATTTGCGAATCTATACGCAATTCCAACACATCAGCACGAGTGCTCCAACGAGGCAAGAAGTGATAGAAGCAATTAAAGCCCAGTAAAATGGCAAAACTGCTGGTATTGACAATGTATTTGGTGAATACTTAAAAATAAGCCCAGAATTAGCAGCAGATATTTAGCTTCCAATAACACAATCTATTAGAGACAATGAAACTATATCGAAGACAGAAACGAGTGTATCCTAGTAAAAATTCCTGAAAAAGGCGACTTGATTGACTGCAATAATTAAAGAGGCATCATATCACTCCCCATACTAAGTAAAATACTCTCTTGGATAATTCTGTCAAGAACGTCAGCAAGCGTGAAGAGAAGTTCACGAGAAAAACAATATGGCTTTCGACCAAGCCAGCTACAGTGTTTATCTAATTACAGTGATGATCGTCTCCTACTTAATCGCGCATGCAAATATTCATAAAGAAATGTCTTAGAAGAATACTGAAAATATTGTGCCGGAGCGCATATCCAATACTGATCTCAAGGAACGCACGGAAAGAACACAAGCCGCCGGCCTGTAGCCCCAGCTAAGACATGGCGAAGAATTGTGGACCAGCAGCTTAAAGGCGCACAGTACTCCTGTGCAGGCAACAGAATAAAATTTAGGGGAATCGTTGAGGCCCTGTGCTTCACTAAGGAGACAAGGACTCGGGTTATGTTGATCCAATAAAGAAACAGAAATTAAGAAGACATGCATGTTATTACGTATTATCAATGAAAAATTGTGTCAATGAAAATTTTAAATTTCTTAATTAATTTCAAATTTTCAAAAACTTGACATAAAATATATAAATAAACGATAAGTTTTTGCAGTAGCCGTCCTTTTTCAGAGACTGGAGTAACAGATAGATGAGAAACGTAACGGATGCTACGAAGCACAGTGGAAAGAGCGCTGAATTATTTGAGAAATTTGTCTGTTTTACATTTTGTTCTTTAGACAATCACTGATTCAAGAGGTTACTTAAGAGGTTCAACTTTTTGGAAAAAGTGCAAATGTATATATACAATTGTCTACTATTCAAACACCAACTGCATATAAAAATAATATATAAAAACTGAAACTATTTGGTTTCAAAATATTCTACATTTAATGAAAACAGTTTTACACTCCATTTAAAAATTTTATATAAAAAGATAAAAGCTGTAGGTGCAAAAATAGCTATGAAATGCTTGAATTTTAAATTGACATAGTTGGGTTCACAGTATATACTGTTTTCAAAACAATCTAGGAACAGATTGGAATAGTAGAATATTGAATTTATCTTGTGTTTCTGTTTGAGAAAAAACTTTTATCGATATTTTTGTTCAATCTTCGTCCTTCTTTAATTGCTCCTAAAAGGTTTCTAAAATTCTCAATTGAGAATTTAACATTTCTACTTATTTCAATTCATTATCTGTTTTCTAAACTCGTTTGTTGTGTATATATAAACAACACATATATAGTATGTGCTTTATATATATTTCAAGTTCCATAGATTTCCAGAAGGTATATTTAACTCACAGCATTTTTATACGCGCACATATATATGAGTTATATGGTCTTATTATCTCGAAGACAACGGATACATCAACAGTTTACTTGTGATTAGACACCAATTATAAGCACATACGCGACAAATAATATCAAGGGAATTTGAAAATATTTTTTATTGTCCATATTGTTTAAAGATATATAATTGCCAATACTTCAACTAAAATAAACAAATAAATGTGCACATTCCCACTTGTGTTCATAGCGTGGGATCTGAAAGCACTAAACGCCAAACGACTGCGTTCCTTAGTCATGAAGCGCCTTAGTCACTTGATGAAATTTTAAAGGAACTCTGCTGATATTAATTAATGAAAAATGTTCAAATTTAAATATTTTATTTAAATTTAATAAATTCCTTTAATTAAAGTATACATATTTTATTTGTGATATAAAAAGTATAACACTAAAAGTAAAATGTGAAATGTTTGCTCTATATCTCAAAATAAAATAATATAAATATAAAAAATGGTTTTTAATCTAAGAAATTAAAAAAGAAAAAAAACATAAGAGAGTAGAAGTAATACTACTTCCATAAAATACAGAAAATACAGAAAATACAGAATACATCTCACCTCCTCAAAACAACGTTCGTCTAAACAGTCTTTTAAAACACACTATATTATTGAAGTGTTGAGGAGTTTATCATATATTGAATTTATGGTAATTCAAAGTAAATCTGTTTTATTAAATTATTTACAGAGTTCTTTGAACTCTAGGCGGATCTAGAAATTACATTTCGGGACCTCTTGGTTTCAACACTTTAAATTTTTTTTTTGAAATTCCGCATAATGTGTACAAAAAATAATATATTAAGTTAATATGTAAATTAGAATAAAATATTTTGTGTATTGTAGATGAAGTCTTCTGGACTTTTTCCTTTTTTTATTGAACTCGCATCAGAGTATTAAGGGCTCCTGCGTCTGCTCCACTCCATAAACAGATTGGCTTCAATGAGCAGATTTGGAAAGAAAGCAAAAAAAATATGTAAAATTTATTAACTAGTAAAGATTATTGCATATGTAAGAAACACAAGGAAATAAAATCATTTCAATTAATAACTAATACTAACTGATAATAATTTAATAAGTAGAAAAAGATATATAAATTTTAAAACATTTGAAATTTTTTAAAGAATGTATTAAAAAATATATATATTAAATAGGTTAAGAAATTTATGATGATAATGATAAAAATTAAAAATCATTCTACCTAAAAGCAGTATAAAAGTAATTAAATTAGAAAAATTAATTAAAATTAGAAAAATAATTAAACTAAAAAAATCATAGAAATGATTGTTGTCTTAAAATATTACAATTAAAATGCAATTGTCACAAAATATAAAAAGTATTTAGATTAATGTAATTTAAGAATTTTAAAATCATTAATAAGCAAAACCAAATAATTTTATAAATATATTTAATTTGCATTTACAAATTTTTGCACAATTATCCATTCTTTTATTCAAAATAGATTTTTTATCATAAGACAAAAAAATTTTTAATTTAAAGTATAAAATTTTATAAACTAAAAGAAAAAAAATATTTTTAAATGAATAAATTTAAAAAAAATAATTTTTAAGTAAAACGATTTTGAAATAAATCAATTTCAAAAATAAATCTGTTTTAAATATTTTAAATAGCTCGTAAGACCAATTAAATATAAAAACTATTATAAATGTAATTAAAATCATTTGAAATTACTAACACTTAAAAAGTCATCAAATTGTAATAAAAGAAAATTAAAAGAAAAAAAAATTATGAATTTTAAAAAATGAAATCACTGTAAAAACTTAAAAAAAAATAAATAAATAAGTGTTAATCAAAAATAAATGAGAGTTTAAAAAAATACATATTTATTTTAATTTTTTAAAAATAAGAAACACTATATACATTAGCGAAATTTTCAATATTTGTGTAAATTATTAAAAACTATTTAAGGAATTATATTTTAAAATAATTACATCTCGTAAAACTTCAAGTAGTTTCTTAGCAGCCATAGCACTGGCTCTACTTTTATTGCTTGCCGTCGAAGTAATCCAGAACTGGCCAACCGAGCAAATTGCCGTATAACTAATATCATCAGATAAATATCGATATATCGGCATCACTAGATTGTTGTATGAGCAAAAGCGGTTCAGAAATATAACTTCACTTGGCGGACATATCACTTCTTCCAATTGGTCTACAGTTGCTCTTGTTATTGTCTTATCCTTGACGTGCCAAGCACGCAACAAGTTTAATGCAGCAACATGTTTAGCTGCCACAAATGTTGCACCCTCTCCAAACTCCAACATATCTAATACTCTGATTCTACATTGGAAGTGTTCAGAACTGGATGTTTCGATTTCGTATAGTGGTAAACGAATTTTACGCTTTTTGCACTCCTCCTCTAATATTATTAACGGTGACTTATGCTTCATTATTGAACGAATTACATTTGAGCAATCACAAAATCGCAGCACAGAAAACACATCCGCTCACTTATAACTACAATCTGACATTGAGGCCAAAAGTGCCGACAGATAATTATTGCGAAAGATATAGACACAGATTACAATAAGCACAGATTCCAGTGAAACCTGGTACATCTAATTATAAATTTAGCTGAAAATGCCACAATTGTTTCTGTGGTGCAGTTGTTGCCAAGAAATTTCAGTTTAGAAGCTTCACTAGCTTACACAAATTGCACTAGACTAAGTCAATTATGTTTATAAATAAATGAAATTAGTTGCCTCACAGCTGAAGTGGAAGTGTTAAACTGTTCGAAGAATGAATTTATTTTAAACAGAACTTCAAAAACGAAACTTAATAATCAAAAAGGCAATTAATATATATAATGTGTCTAATACCACTTTAATACTCTACTCTACTCTACTCTACTCTACTCTACTCTCTCTCTTTAGAAGCCGTTGTCCAATAAATTCTCAGTTATCGATTCAATAAGATATTTTTACAAATAAATAATATTTTAAACACAGCTTAAATCGAAACAACTGCCCATGAGTTCATATTTTCATTGCCTTTTTTTCAATAAAACGCAATTTGAGCTAAATTCCATTAAATTGGAAGAAAAAATAAATAAATCCAATGCTTCTTGTTGAAAATGTATATACATTTATTCATCATGTCTGTTTGTTTGTTTTAAAGTCCTTATTAATTTTTAATATGATTTTAAATATATGTACAAACACCTCTATATGTGCAGATATCTGCATTAACCCATTTCGTACCTCCGTGTGGTAGACCACACGCCTAACTTTGAAAATTATTTAAAAATATATAAAAGTAATTAATTCAATGTTTTTTTATTTTTGTTACTTAATTTGATAACTTAATAATAGAAAAATACATGTTTTGAACAGTTTTCATCTGTTCATGAGTTTACCTGGTCCGAAATGAAAGTATCCAAAAAAATGTTTTTTTTAATCAACAGAAAATTAAAATAAACAGAAATAAAAGCTAATAACATGTGTTCACAAAAGTCCAAATATAATCCTCGTAATTTTTGTTAGCGCCTACCAATACAAAACCGATGCCTCACCTAGACTTCAAGAAGTTCATTGCCAGAAACCTTCTTCTTGCATCAGAGAACTCACTGTTCATTGCAGAAGCTACCGCTAACGATGATTTCAAAAAGGAAAGTCACAGTGCAGCAGAAGATGTTTATCTTCTGGGAAATTTACCGCGTATAACCAGTATGCACGCTCCCATAAAAACTCAAAATCGCCACCGCTGTATTGTTCGTACACCAAAAGGTACAGTTTTTATATATGAAAAGTGCCATTTAAATGAAAATAAACAATAATACATTGATCGTAGACAATGACGCAAGTAAACATATTTCTTTTTACATAATATAATACATATGTAATAATTCAAATATATTTTTGATAAATATTTGAAAAGCATTAAACATAAAATTTTATACTTACACGTCTTTTATAACATACAACTTACAATGGTACTTACTTCACCATAAAAGTAACTACATAAATACGATATTTGCGAACAAAACACATATAAAAATGTTTGTACTATCGAAGAGAGAAAAGTGTGCTATGGGTCCCAGCGTGTGGTTGACCACAAGGCACTTTTCCGGAAAACTGCTTTAAAAAAAAAAAATTGATTTTGCAGGGAATATTTTTTTCTTTTGAAAATTTCACCGTAAAATCCCAAGTTTGAACTTGCCTGGTACTTAATGGGTTAAGCAACACATTTTTTAGATACTAACTATGTTTAACGTTTTTAAGTTCCCATTTAATCATTTATTAAGGTAAATATTAACGAGATTACTACAAGAATTTTGGCGTATTCCTTAACATTGAGTTCTAGTTCTAATATTTAAGGCTGCGGTTACATCGCATGCGAATTTTGTCTTGCGTGTTCGTGCGTATGTTTTTTTTTTTGTGCGTACATGTCGCATGTTACGGTTACATTGGTTGCGAATTGACAGTTATGCTTTTTTTGTTTTGGAAACAACATTGAATTTAATATCAACTATTATTAAATTATTTATTAATTTCAAATAACAAAAGTTAAATTTGGTGCATGATCAAGATATAAAAATTGAGAGTTTACCTATTCCTCAACCAAAGAAATTAGCAAACCAAAGAAATGATGAAAAATCATTTCCTAAGAGCAACATATCAAATGTACATATTTCCATTTGTAAAATTAAAATTATAATTATTTACAGAATAGTTAAATATATGAAGTAATTCCTAATTCCTAAAACATTGATGATGGGCATTTGGCGATATTCAAAATAGCTGTATGGTTAACCAAAAATTCAAATAATTTAAATATGTAATATAAAAATATGTGTTTTTTGTTGTTGTAATGCGTTAAATTACTACTAAAATAAAATTAAATAAAAATAACAGACACCTACCAAGACACCTAACTATTTCTACCTTTGATTTCGCACAGCATTTTATACGACTTAGGGGGGTTTTCGAATTATCGAGGTTTCGATTTAACGAGGTTAAAATAGAAGAAAATACGAATTAACGGCGCTTTAACATTTCAGTTGATTTTCACATATTTTATATATATAACTTTATTAGAACTAAATAATCCAATTTACATATGTATTTACATATTACTTACTAATAATTTAATAAAAAAATATAAAAACATGAAAAGTTATATAGAGAAAGATCAAGCTTTAACTTTAAAAAAGTTTGTAATTGTTGAATGCTTTAGACTCTTTTCTGTCTGGGGCATCTCTCCAAACTTAATAAACAATCAAAAACATTTTCTTGGGCATCATGATTTGAAACATATATGTATGTGCCTATTTTGAATCGCAAGGGAAAAGTCCCAGGTTTTTCCCAATTTTGCACAAATTCTTTCCCAAGCAAATTGTTTGAGAGACAAATTGAAAGAGTATTAAATATAGTTTAATTTAATATGAAAGTAACTGAAAATGATCAAATTTTTGAATATTTTTTAATAGATTATTATTATAATAAATTTAATATTTTCAAATATTTATTTAAATATTTTATCCACAAGGGTTGATTAGTTTTTCGAACATATTTTAATAAAATTATTATAATAAATTTAATAAAACTAAATTTTTATTTAATAATATATTTTATTAAAATTATTATTATAATAAAAGTATTATAACAAATTTAATATATTCAAATTTTTATTTATTTATTTATTTTATCCACTAGGGTTTTTTTCCAGAAATTAAATTAGCATTAACTGTTGTTATTTAAACCGATTGATAATGAAAGAAACCCAAATTCTGAAGTGAATGGGATTCCTAGAATAGGTTAAAATAAACTTTTGCAATTATGGACAGGTAAGACATTGCTTCTTTTTTGTTGTAACATCTGCACAATCATAAACTATTATTACAGTTTATTAATTTAAGGACATTTCTATCCTAATTATAAAAATAAATACGCGGTTTGGAGAGGAACTCAAGTTTTAGTTAAAACATTAATAATTTCAATTAATAAATAAGATATTTTACTTTGTTTTATTGTACATAAGAAAATAATAAATTATATACATATTTAGATAATAAAATAAATAATAAAAAAAAAATTTTCTATTATTTACTTATAAAATATTCATTATATTTATTGCTTATATATGTTGATTTCTTTAAATCAATATATGATACGCAAATCTTTACTTTGATTTGGGCATTTCCGCACTTTTCGTCATTAAAAAGTGCCATGGTTGCCAAAATTTAACAAAACAAATTTGTTGTTCCCAAAACTGCTGTCTCCCAAGCAATTCAGAATAAGGAAGTTCTGTTCTTGGGAATAGCTTGGGAATAGGGAGACTTGTTCCCTGGGAGTATTCAGAATTGCTATGATTATCGTAGTTGTTGAATGGCCGATTTGGTTTGTTCACTCGTCATAAGTCGTTCCTCACCGACGCTATCATCCTCATCGCTCTCAGTATTAATAGCCGCAACTTCTCTCAAAATATTGTTATCTGGTAACATACCAGATACAGCCACGTCATTATCAATGTTCACATAATCATCAAAAAGGGTGGCATTTTGAAAGTTCTGACATATACGAACCCATAGATAATTTATGTTGAATTGTTCAACTTGACTTAAATTTTCGTTTAAATCTTTATTAAAACCGCTAGCCCGGAAGCAGTTTTGAATGCAAGATCTGCTGACACTGTTCCATGCTTTATTAGCGATTTGCATTCCCGTACATTTGAACTCTTTCTTTTCATCAATGCTATTCGTCAGATAAATAACCATTTCCTTGCGATAAAATAATTTAAAATTTTCTATTACACCCTGGTCAAGGGGCTGCAGTTTGGAAGTGGTGTTTACTAACAAAGACTTTATTTTTACGTGGCTGAGATTAGGGAACCCATTATTCTCAGCAACTGTAACCACTCACATATGATTACGTACATTTGATTTGTTCGTATGAACACGCACGACAAAATTCGTATGCAATGTGCCCGCAGCCTTACAGCGTTTTCGATGGGCAAATCTGCAGCAGGCTGATTTTGCTAATCGCTGTCGCTAAAACTCCATCGCTGAAATTCTTTAAAAGCATTTTATTGACTTTTGTGATTCCGCTAACTCTACGCTTAATTTCTCTTCGCTAATTTCCTCAATTGCTCCGGATAAAACGGTATAGCGCCAAATTTCTTATTCTGATAAATTGACAATCGGGAAATATCGGTAAAAACGACTAAAATTGTTATATTAAATGCCATCGGTGAAATAGTTAAAGATGCCAACTGTTGTCAAAAATGAAAATAAGATATGTTAATACTATACATATATAATATATACTAAAGAATTATGCATACAAAAATGTTAAATGACATCGTGGCCTCTAATTTTAAAATTGTATTGTGCATATCTTTACTTTCAGTGAAGCTATATTTGACAAATTGTAAATTAAAGAACTCCATTGTA